CGTTGTTGATTGTCTCTTTTTAAAAGAAAATGTGTGAAATGAGCTCTTTCAATATTAACTAAAATAAAGAACCGTATATTTTTCCACTTTAATGCCTTTGTCCTGTGTTTTAGCCAGACTTACCTGTGTTGTAAATGATTAAATAAAGAAATAAAATTGGGGAACCCCTTTTGAAGCGCCCCTCTCTGCTACACTCACATCAGTCTCATATCAGCAAATAAAATATTAGCAGTTTTTATATATTGATTTTTATAGCCCCAGTAAGTAACTTTTTTTGCTGAAAAACAGACCAGACGTTTTTGTTTATGGATGTGTATATTTCACTGAAAAAATTTACTCTGAGCAGGCTTGCATCTCCACAAATCTGACTCTTATTAGGCCTGGAGAAGGGCCTCCTCCTGCTTTTTTACGTGGAAGTGTTGTTCTTTGGCTGTTGTCCACAGTACAGCACAAAACATATCTACCGTATTTTCCAAGCTATTAGACGCGCTCTTAAGCTTCTAACCCCATCAAAAAAAGACCGCGCACCCCACAATCCAGAGCGCCCTATACAAGAATCCACTCAGGTGTCCCAGCACGACTTCAGTAAATTACAAAGCCGCACCACCCGCTGAACATGCAAACACGCACGGAGCAGACCGCGACCGTGCAGTGAAACACACGCGCAGTCACACTTTATAGGGATTCAGTTGTAGCGGACGAGGAACGGAATGGAGGAACCAAAAAAGCGAGTGCAATGTGCCACTTCTAGACACAACTGAACAACTGAGTCACTGCGAACACGTCGACAGTCCGTTGGTCCCAGACAGCACCCTCCCTACATGCCACAACTGAACAAAGCCCAGAGTCACAGTGAACACCACAAACAAAGTCCCACTGACCCATCCAACTGTTGTGTTTCGTTTAAAGTCCAGTGTGGTTTATTTGTGAAAAAAGTTCAAAAATAGACCATTTAATGACAGTGCGTCTTATAATCCAGAGCGCCTGATAGTGCAGAAAATACAGTATGTTCCAAAGTATTTATTTATACAGTTTGCAAAGTGAAATGGATTCTCGTGATATTTGTGAGGTCACAAACTCATGTATGGATAATTGAGTGACCAATCACGTCGTAGCATTGAGGTTTGTGCAGAAGCCAAAGGCAAAGCGCACAAACGAACCAAACATGGCGACGCCAACAGACTTCAGCCTATTTTAGTGTCAGTACAGACTATTTACTTTGTGAAAAACATGCAGAAGGTAAAAGCTTTGTGCATTTGTGAACAGGGAAGATGTCTGTGCTTTTCTCCCAACTGAATTTAAAGTTTGATATTTCAGTTTCTTCTGTTTCACAACAAACCAGTCAGAGTTAAAAAGTCGCCATGACTATTTTGACCATGTCTTTCAGTGAGAGTTTGTCCAGATCGATATTGAGTAGAATCAGTTCAGTTGACACGGATCAGTCTGGTGTTGTTTTATCTTTCCATTTGCATGGAAATATGCAGCTGACTTTCGATCCCCTAAAAGTTCCATACTAGTGCTTTAACTTGTGCTGCTCGAAAATAATTACATGTCCCCCTCACCCGTCCCTGCCATTTAATCCCTTTCATTTAGTCCTGAACACATCCACTTTGCAACACTGTTAATTCCCCTAATGTGGATGTTTTCATTATGAACCTGCGACAGACTTGATGAAGACGTATCTTTGTTAAACACAGGTGGAAGGTCCTCATTGATGAAGTCTCTGCTGCACTGTCTGAGCTCTGGATCCATGGCGTTTGTGACTCCTCCTCACACAAGCAGCTCTTTGTCAATATGAACGCGGCGACAAACTCAATCTCTTAAACCCGTGACGCCTGTATCGACGAGATGTGCGAGAGCGCGGCTTTAAGACAGACCCCCACCGTCCTGCTGGAGAATTATAGGAATTTATCACAGCAAAAGAACGGGGACTGTGCCAATTAAAGCGCAGTGGGCATTGATCGCTCGAGTGCGGAGCAGTTTAGTGGCATAGGTCTGTGTAAATGCATGTGACGCCAGCATCTACGAGAAGAGGCCTACGTTCAGCTGGTTAATACATGTAGTTATCAGTGTTGAGAAGTAACTGGATACATGTACCGAGAATACACACTCTGAATACTAATTTTTTCAATACAGATACTTGGTTTGATTCAATGGTCTGCACTTGTTATGTTTAACACACAAACCCTGCACAGCAAAAACTGGAGGGTTAAAATTTTAGGGTAAAATATTTCAGAGTTGTTTTTAACACCAAAAGTCTTATTTTAACTATTTGAAAGTTAAACGGGGGTTTGAGTTTGGGGCTATTTGTCAGAGTTGATGTGGTTGAGGTTAATTCAACTTCCTCCAGTGTTCATTCAACTTTCTCTAGTGTTACCGTATTTTCTGCACTATTAGGCGATCTGGATTATAAGACGCACTGTCATTAAATGGTCTAATTTCGAACTTTTTTCACAAATAAATCGCACTAGACTTTAAACGAAACACAACAGTTGGATGGGCCAGTGGGACTTTGTTTGTGCGTTCACGGTGACTCTGGGCTTTGTTCAGTTGTGGCGTGTAGGGAGGGTGCTGTCTGGGACCGCTGGGACCGCTCGGATCGTGTTCGCAGTGACTCAGTTGTTCAGTTGTGACTCAGATTGACACATTGCACTCGCTTTTTCGGTTCGTTCCTCCGTTCCGTTCCTCGTCGGCGTGGAGTGATGAGTGTGTCTGTGGGTGTTTTTCGCTGTGCGGTCGCTGTTTGCTCCTTGTGTGTTTGCGTGCGTTGCGGGTGGTGCGACTTTATAGTTTACTGAAGTCATGCTGGGACACCCGAGTGGATTTGTGTATGAGGCGCTATGGATTGCGGGCCACGCGGTCATTTTTTGATGCGGTTAGAGGCTTAAGACCGCGGCTAATCGCCCGGAAAATACGGTAATTTGGCTCCTCCCATTCACCACTTCAAACTCTTGTGAGAGAAGACCAGTTTGAACCAGTTTTGTACATAATTTAATCTTAAATTAACTCAAATAAAGTAAAAATAATATAAAACAACTCTGTGTGTTGTTTAGCGAAATCAGGATAACTCTACAAAGTATTATCTGTTTACTCTCAAAACGTTAATATAACTCTTGATTTCGGAGTTAAACAGAAACTTTGGTCCAGTGTTACTTAATTAACGTTTCCAAAAATGTTAAATTAACTCTAGAACAGATTGGACTCATAAACTCTGAGAAAATGTTAAAGTTGATTCTGTGAGAGTCAATTTTAACACTCCACTTTTTGTTGTGTGGATATTTAGGTGTATGATGAGTTCTTTTCTCAAAATGAAAACACTCTGTGATGTCATGTAGTAATACAGGAAGTGCTCCACTGTGTTTTTAAACTCCATACACCTTCACTAGAATCATTTGGATCATTTCAGTCCTGGAAGTTGCCGATCTCTACTGAACTTAAGGTAAAAGGTAAACATAACAAACTTTTATGCCTTCTTTATCATAATTATTAGTTTGTATTTGTGCATGTATGTATATTTGTGTTTATGTATGTACACTACTGGTCAAAAGTTTTAGAACACCCTAATTTTTCCAGTTATTTCTTGCAGTTCAAGTCGTGCAAGTCCAATGAAGAGCTTGAAATGGTACAAAGATAAGAACTGAACAGCCAGAGGTTAAAAAAAGATAAAATATAATAAAACAGTCCAAGCTCTGCCAAAACTACCTCAGGAAAAAAGAACAAGCTGGTCCAGCACAGTGTCCAGACTTAAACCCCATCGAGCTGATTTGGGATGAACTGGACAGAAGAGTGAAGCAACCTACAAGTGCCACACATTTATGGGAACTTCTGCAACAGACTTGGGAAGAACTTTCTGAAGAATATTTGATTTCTGTTGTAGAAAGAACGAGCCACGAGTGTGTTCAGCTGTTACATCTGCCAAAGGTGGACACTTTCATGAATCAAAAGTTTAGAATACGTTTTGGTCAACAGTAAACAGTAAAAAAACTGGAAAAAGTGAGGTGTTCTAAAACTTTTGACCGGTATCGTATGTGTTTGTGTATATATGTGTATTTATGTGTCAAACGTGCTAAGGTAAAACAATTGGGGTAGGACACAATACGTGTTTAAATCTTCAACTTCAACTTCCTCCTTTTGAGCACCAGAACCCAAACATGTACATACCCTTACAGTTCTAATGTACCTTGCTCAAACAAAAATAAAAAAAATAAAATTAAAGGCAGCTATTAACTTAACAACTACTGCTTCATGACATCACAAGGTGGAACAGAGCATTTTGAGCTTTGGAGATGTGGACAGATAGCCAGGCTGGCGCCACCTAGTGCCTCTGCTCAATTTCATTTCTCTCTAGTGACTAGGTCAGGAATTGGAATATACTAGATGATTTGCAAAAAAACCTAGAAGTGCGAGTTCGGGCACCAGCCAATCAGTAAAGAGGCAGACATTCTGTGTTGTTAACGATTCCTGAGTTCGAGGATTTAAAGCCGGAATAAAGAGAATGTTTGGTGAATTTTATCAAGGGGAAAGACATTATTGTCCTTCTTCCTATAGGATTTGGGAAAAGCGTAATATACCAGTTAGTGGCGCATTACATTCGTCACGACCAAATAGCAGCGATTGGTTAAATGATAAAAAGTACCCGCCTACCGTGAGTGAATGAATCCTAACACTGCGAGGTCAGACGGTTTCTACAAAGTGAAACCGGCTGCTGAATCAGGCTAATAGACAGACTAATAATAAAGTGTTACTCAAACATCTGTGAATGAAACAAAACAACTTCAGGTCTGTTTTTGAGGAGGCAACATCATTCTAACATGGCTTAAATTGCACAAAAGTCAGTTTTGTTAGTTTCATAGTTGATTGTAAAATAATCTCATGAAGTTTGAGCTCAATTTTGTAACACCAAGAATATTACCCAGCGCCTCCAAAAGCTCCAAATATCCAAACTTGTATGCCAGTGTGTGTATGTGCATGTTTTGTGTTGTGGTTTGTTGAGGTCTTACCTGGGGCAGAGCCAGGCCCAGGGCGAGGGCTCCCACCAGCAGCAAGTGCGTCTCCATCCACAGCACGGCCCGGTCTGCACAGCCCACGGGGTAAATGGACTTATTGGCCTCCAGGAACTTCTGGGTTTGGACTCCGAAGCCGCACATGGTGTTGATCACAGTCTGGTGGAAAGACAGTCTGAGGTTATAAAAGAAACTCCACACGGTTTCCAACATATTTGCTTTGTATTTGAATTGTTTTGTAATCACACAGGTTAATTTCAGCCTGCTGTTTGTATAATTGCTGTTTCAAGTAGCTGTTGCCTTAGTTGCCTCATTATTATAAACATTGTTCAGCTTTTATATAATCCATTCTGAGTTTTTGCCGGTGACTGTGGTGGCCAAAGTTCTGAATATTTTTTTGAAAAGATATTCCTTAAACCTCATTAGTCTTTTGATTTCCTTATTGGTAACTTTATCCATCCATGTGATCTTAAAGGTGCACTGTGTAACTTTCCGGTGGAGGGTCCATCACCTTCTTGTTTCTATGGAGATGTCATAATGTTCCACAGTATGACATTAAACAGATCTACTTTACATTTATTCAATTACAGGTGGTTTTAGTGATCACAAATACAAAGAAAAACGGGCATTCTGACTGTGAGTGGGCTCGCCTCTCCACAGATCTGACCTGTAACTTGGTCTGGTTTGGTCTCCATGAAGATAGAAAGGTTTAATGCCATACTGCGAAACATTCCACAGAGAAAAGCATTTGACAAACCCACCACCAGAAAAGTTACACAATGCACCTTCAAGCTTTTTTTTAAGTTCACATATCAAAATTGTGTTTTTTTTTAGTAACAATGTTTTTTTTGTACAATATCAAAGCATAATCAAGCTATATTCTGTCGTGTACGTGAAACAAAACAAGGACAGACCAACCTCATTAAGGAAATTAAGTTATAGCCATCCATACACACATTTTTTTCAGTATAAATATAAATACATATATACAGTATATTCATACAAAAATATTAAATGTATATATTGATATACATTAAAAAAAAGGTTCACAGAATAATCTTCAGTAATAATTCAGTAATTTGCAGCATCTATCTGCCAAACTATTCTAAATTATTTTACTACAACAATGTATATGCATAGGCTTTATTTTTATTAAAAGTCCTATATAATGTCATAAAAGTTCTTAAACTAACAACCCCTTTTACATTTTGTTCAGTAGAGATTGTCAATTGGAAATTATCCAAATGATTCTGTGTATATACTGTATATATGAAGGGGTGTGGAGTATGTTGTAAGTTTGGTGGGTGGTGGTGGGGTGGAAATGTGGGATTGTTTTTAATCACTGTAAAGTACTTTGTGTTACAGTTTGAAAAGCGCTTTATAAATAAAGTTTGATTTGATTTATGTTGTACCTAGGGATGTAACAATTACCAAAATATTGCGATATCATATCGTCAAAAGTCTCTCAATAATATCGTGGTCCATCACAATATATCGAATAACAAGTTTCTTTGCTTAAATTCATTGATATGGTGCTAATAAAAACAGAGGGAACTACATCGACCATGATCCTTTGCTCCATTTCAGTGCAGACTACAAGGAGAAATAACAGTTCTAAGCACTTTTAAGTCTTAGTTCTTTGGATTAAATCTTGTCAAGGCATTTTAGGAGGAAAAAGTAGAATATTCACAGTTTTGTTAGCCTCCAGAAAATATAATAAAGCACTAAATATCGTACTCTGAGATGTATATCGTGAAAATATCGTACCGCGAGATTTGGATAATGTTACATCCTTCGTGTTTTCAGCCTAAATACGCAAGATTTCAGAGTTAAACATGTGAGAATGAAACAAAACACAACTCCAGGTCTGTTTGCGACGAGGAAACATTATAAGATAGCTCAGAAAATACCGTAATATTGGCTCTTTAAACACTCTTCACGGATAAATCCTACACAGTGTAATTTGTCCTTGCGTTTCTAAGCGTCGTGGAAGCCCGCTGAATCCATTGTAATCCAGCGTTTGTGTCTATTCTGCGGCTTTAGCGGAGGGGAGATCTGTGCTTCTGCCTGTTTATTTTAGACACCAGAAACCAGGTCAGTCCATCGCGAGTCCATTTGAAGCACAGACACACACACAGACCCTTCCGTCCCGCCACCACAGTGCAGTAACACGTCCCGAACAGCAGGACGCAGCACCGCCCCAGTTCATCTGATCTTTAATTAATTGATTTGTTTCATCCATGTGAAAAAGTAGCTGTGATCTTTCGCCTCGTGGCATGATGTAGGATCGATGTAAGCGTGTTCTTGTGTCTCGGGAGGGTTTGTCTGCGGTGACCTGCATAGGCTCCACACAGACGCTCTGTAAATGTCTGCGTGGAGCGTAAAAGTGTGCGCTCAGCTTTCCCGGCCTATTCTATTTACATACTAAACACATTCTTACACTTATCTGTTCCAGGCATGCTCCGACTGCTGGATCACAAATGTTTAATCAAAAAGGATTCCTCTCGCATAAAGATTGGGTATAACACTCTGTACGTTAAATTATATGTTTGCCAGATTGGGTTTTTAAAGACCTACATTACGCTGTTTTCTTCATCACAAACATAAATGGAGTTGCGCTCTGTGCTCTCTTCTAAATGTCCCCAAATGTGTTAAAACGTGCAGGCAATCGAGGGCAGTTCCAGTTCCCATTCCAGTAAATACAGTCATTACTCACTCTCCAATGACACTGCTGGAGAGAGAGGCGACAGAATGCACAATTTTACAAATATCTGTCAGGACGTCTGATCAAATATAAATGTGTTAAGGTCAATGTTAAAAACCCAATCTCGCAAACATAGCATTTAGCCTACAGAGATCTATACTCAATCTTTATAATGGGCAGTGCTGGTACTTGTGTGGAAAATCCTGTTTGGTTAAAGGTGACTCTTCTCCACTCCAAGGAAGGACTTTCACAGATCTTTGTTTTTTGAAATCTTTGAAAATATATCAAACTTGTTTTCAACATTCTGTCTTGTGTTTTTTAAAACTATACAGGCGAGTTTCAGCTGACGTCATTGTTATTAAAAGCCCGCGTTGCATGCTGGGAAATATTTTGGTCGGAGGCAAGAAACACGATAGCGTCAAACACAGTGCGTAACCTCGTGTATTTATCCCCGATAATGGTAAATTCCTGCTGCATTATCGGATGCACAAATAGAAGCACGGAAGAAGGAAAATGTCTTTTTCGTATTCTGAGTGAAAAGAACCGCTAACGGTGAATTAAACGGCTTTCAAACATCCGCAGAGCAAACGTAGAAGATCCTAACAAACCGTGGACTCCAACAAGTTCAACAACACATCGAGACTCTTGGAGGTTTTCATCTTTTCTGCTGTGAATGGCCCAGGAGTTTCCACCAAGTCATTGTGGATATCGCCAAAGTGAATATTTGTCCAGGTAGTTGGCGATTCTGACCAGAAATTTGGTTTGGTCCAGGGTTTTGTAGGGGTTGAAAAGGGTGATTTGGCTCCATCGATGCTTATGACCAATTTCTGGTCAAATGGTCTTGGTTCCTCTGCCGTTAGAGTGGATAAATAACCAAGATCAATACCCTTTACGTGCTTTCTCGCTCCGTCCGTCATGTTGAATTAGTGTTTATTGCCGCCGACCAAAATAATTCCCAGCATGCAACTCGCGCTTTTGTCAACAATGAAATTCGCCTATACTATACTATAAATTACATTTCTTTCATGGTTTGGGTGTTTCCTGCGACTTATATATTTATATTTTCAGACTGACAGCTGCGAGAGGCTCTAGGCTTGTGTATCTTTTTTCTGCGCATGTCTCCTGCAGAAAAAGCCGCTGTCCTGCTGCAAGTGGTGAAATATGCAGCAGAAAATGGTCATCGAGCAGCAGAAAGAAAGTTTGGAGTGAGGGAGAAACTTGTGAGGGACTGGCAGAAAGTGGGAGAGAGAGTCCACTGGAAGTTGTGATCGCATGATTCCAAACGTCGTAAGGGTAAATAGAGCCTGTTGGTAATTCCAGGGCTGATATCATCCAAATAATTCTGGTGAAAGTGCATGGAGTTTAAAAACACAAAAACGTGTAGTAGAGGTAAAGAAAGTTTGGAGTGAGGGGGAAACTTGTGAGGGACTGGCAGAAAGTGGGAATGGAGAACACAGCTTCACGGCAAGTGGGAGGATGCAGCATGCAAAATTCCTGGAAGTCACTGGATGACAAAGCGTGGACTTCAGTAACGACCAAAGTTGCGCGGAGTTGCTCAAAAGTGACACAGAGGATGAAGAATTCAGTGGATTTATTGATTTGGAGTGAGATCGAGAGTTTGGTAAACTTATGTCCTGTTGTTTGTGCTATTCTTATCTGAATAATTGTCAATATGTTACTTTAACACATTAATGCTGATTCAGCCTGTTGTTCTTTGTTCTATTGTTATTATTATAACTTGCCTTTCAAGATAAAATGTTGGTAAAATAAATTTGCCCCAAAAAATGCGACTTATACTCCGGAGTGACTTATAGTCCAGAAAATACGGGAAACTTAAAGAATACTTTAAGGAGTATATTTCAAGTATATAAATAGTAAGCTAATAAGTTAGTAATATGGCAAGTAAACTTAAAGTATAACAACAAGTAAACTAGAAAAATAACCAAAGTTTTTAAAAGTATACTTAAAGTATACTATAATAAACTAAACATAGGGACTTGAAGTATATAACTAGTACATGGGAGTATATAGATAAGTTTAAGTACTTGTGGTATACTTTAAATATACGAGAGGGATATACCAAGTACATTGATAGCATATAGATGAGTGTACTTGTTGCATATTTTAAAGTGTACTTTTGCAAACTTAAAATGAACTTTAAAGTATACTTAAATTTAAAATGTTCCAACTTAACACGAAAAAGTTTTAAATTATTATACTTTCTAGTACACTAAAAGTACATGGTCTGTAGTATACTTGATATACTTATACTGAAGCACACTTAATAAAATGAACTTTAAGGATACTACTTTTATCTAAGGGGCTTCTGAGATCTGACGGGATCAGACGTTAACAAGCTGGTATGGCCGGTAAGTGATGTCATATGTTCTTACAGGAATACATGAAGTGCTCCACTGTGTTTTTAAACTCCATACACCTTCACTAAAAATCATCTGGATGATTTCAGTCCTGGAAGTGCCACTTTCTATCGAACAAAACGTGTAAAATCTCTGTTACCTTGAAAACTATCTATGACATCACAAGTCTGAATCATTTATTTTTATTTACAAAATGAATGAAAAATGAACGTGAATGAAACAAAACACAACTTCAGGTCTGTTTTTGAGGAGGTAACAACATTCTAGCGTGACTTAAAGCTCACAAGAGTCACCTTTGACCAAATAGGATTTTCCAGCACTGCCTATTATAAAGATTGGGTATAGATCTCTGTAGACTAAATGCTATGTTTGCGAGATTGGGTTTTTAACATGGACCTTAGCACATTTATATTTGATCAGACGTCCTGACAGATATTTGTAAAATTGTGCATTCTGTCGCCTCTCTCTCCAGCAGTGTCATTGGAGAGTGAGTAATGACTGTATTTACTGGAATGGGAACTGGAACTGCCCTCGATTGCCTGCACGTTTTAACACATTTGGGGACATTTAGAAGAGAGCACAGAGCAGCGGTGACAGAAGACGACAGGAGAAAGTGCAGGGAGGAAAAAAAATGTTGCAGTCTGAGCTCTTACCCACACCGCACTGCGTTTGGAGCCATTTCTGTGACTTTGTGAATCTTACAAACATGTTGAAGTAAAGCTGGCGGTATAAGGTCACAACATGTAACATTACTAGGGAAGTAACGATATCCAACTCTCTCTGTACGATATTATCACGATATGCATCTCACGGAACGATATTTATTGCGATATTTTGGAGAGGCTGATATAATTGTAGATAGGACACTTTTTTGCTTTTAAAATACCTTGACAAGATTTTGGTGTGAATTATTTCCGTCATAATCCCAAGAATTCAAGTAAAGTTCATGTTTCTTCATATTGTCTGCACTGAAATGAATCATGGGATATGTAGTTCCCAATGTTTATGAACTGTTGCTACTATAAAACCATGCATTTAAGCAAAGGAACTTGTAATTCGATTTATTGTGAGACATTTGACGATACGATATCACGATATTTTGGTTACTAAAATATACCTCTGCGTGATTCAGCAAACAAACAGATTATAGGGTATTAAAGGGCCCATATTCCTCACCAAAAACATACCTGGACAGACAACACTCTGCTCCACCTTGTGACATGATGTGGTAATACAGGAAGTGCTCCACTGTGCTTTTAAATTCCTTACACGTTTACTAGAATCATTTGGATAATTAATTTCAGCCCTGGAATTTCCAAACTCTATTGCACACAAGATGGATTTTGATCTTTGGAGATCTTAGAGTAGTAGCAGAATATTAAGGATAGCTCAAACACAGTAAAGCTTAAAGACAAGCAGGAGATGTCACCGTGCAGGTCTAGTTACAGGTCAGAGTTGTGGAGTAGCAAGCCTACTCACAGTAAGATTGCATAAAATTTGTAATAGTTTGTTTAGCAATAAATTACACCTATAAAATGTGCAAAATTCTAGGCAAAGTAATGACAACTTTACTGAGACAAATCAAATTTAAAAAGGTGGTCAGAGCTTCACCAGTAGTTTTTTTTTTTTTTTTTTTTTAAATAATAGTTACCTTTTACCTTTACTTTAGTATAGGCTTTATTCACACTTATGTCACAAACCAGGATGACGTTTGGAGAGATGCGATGACAACTTCCGGTGTAGTTCCGACAATTTTAATTTGAAGTAAATGTGATCAGCGGTAAAATGAAGACTGCAGACGTATGTGCCGTTCGGAATCATCTTGAATTTGGTGCCTCGTCTCTTCTAATCGCATGTACCCAGTGCACTCGGAGTTGTGCGTCAGTGGGGAAATGACTAAAACTGAGGTATGATTGTAAATGTTGATTAGGCAAACATAACGGAGCGCTACAGTGGCATAGAGATGAAGAAAACAGGGACATTTTCTTTTTTTTCGTAGATTTTGTCAGACTTACTACTGCGAAGAGAGCCCGCTTTAAGATGTGATTGCATGATTCCAATACAGCACTTCCTGTATTACCGCATGACATCATAAGGTGTAAGAGTGTTTTCAGTTTGAGAGAAGAACTCAGCTTAAACATGCAGGGTTTGTGTGTTAAACGTGTGAATAAAAAAAAAAAACAGAACTGCAGGAAACAACTTTATAACATAGATCAGAAAATTCAAGCATAAAACCTTTAAAAACGAAATGCTATGCTTAAAGGCCTATTCATACTTTGTTCTTGTTCTTGAGGTGATGAGAACAAAGGAAGGAACAAAGTTTGTTTCGGCTCTGACATTTCCTACTTCAAAAGATGTTCTGCTGCTGAACTGCCCCGCTCTCTCTTTTCGTCCTCCAACCTGACCACTCTTTTTTTTTTTTGGTGACCTGCCTTTTGACTTTCGCAAACTTGTCACGGATATTAAGCCAGACTTTTCTACACTGATTTTCGTCCAAGCTTAAAATGTCCGTGACGGTGAATTTCTTGCCATTTGGCGTCTTTATAATCACTGAGCGTCATGTTGTATAGATCAGTCGTCCCCAACCTTTTTTACGCCATGGACCAGTTTTATAACCGGTCCGCGCAGCATGGCTAAATCCTGTTTTAGTCCTAATTTTAGACCTGTTTTAGACCCAGTTTTAATCCTGGTTTAGTCCTGGTTTTAGTCCTGGTTTTAGTTCTGGTTTAGTCCTAGTTTTAGTTCTGGTTTAAAGGCGTGGCCCACGCGACGTACAGAAGGAGGGAGGAGGACAGTCACCATGACGTACGGGAGGGAGGAGGACGGTCCAAGCGATGTACGGAGGAGGGAGAAAGATAGTCTGAGTGATGTACGAAAGAGGATGGTCTGTGTGACGTACGAGAGGGAGGAGGACGGTCCGAGCGATGTACGGAGGAGGACAGTCCACACGACGTACAGGAGGAGAGAGGAGGATGGTCCACGTGACGTACAGGAGGAGGAGGGTGGATGGTCCGTGCGACGTACGGGAGGAGGACGGGAGGAGGAAGGTCCACATGACGTACAGGAGGAGGAGGGCGGATGGTCCGTGCGACGTACAGGAGGAGGGAGGAGGACGGTCCACGTGACGTACGGGAGGAGGACGGTCCACGTGACGTACGGGAGGAGGACGGTCCACGTGACGTACGGGAGGAGGAGGACGGTCCGCACGACGTTTGGGAGGGAGGAGGACAGTCCGTGCGACGTACAGAAGGAGGACGGTCCATGTGACGTACAGGAGGAGGACGGTCCATGGTATGACGTACAGGATGAGGGACGGTCCATGCAATGTACGGGAGGGGGGGACGGCCTACGTGACATACAGGAGGCAGAACGGCCCGTGCGACGTACGGAAGTAGGGAGGGGGATGGCTCGTGCGATGTATGGGAGGAGGGGTGGCCTGCACGAAGTACGGGGGGCTCACGTTTTCACAGCCCGGAACCAAACAACCCACAGCCCAGTACCCTGGTATATATGTTTGTATTTTCTCATCATTACTGCCAGTTGTGACTCAAAACCAGTTTTGTAGGAAGCAACAGTTGGATATCACACACCCGTTGTGTCCAGATAAACCACGCCCACATAAATAACCAATCAGAGCGAAGTTGTCGGACAGCGCTGCCGAACTGTCGAACAAAGTTTGCTCAGCTGAGGCGTCAAGAACAACCCACAAGAACTTAACAGGGGCTGACTGAAGAAAAAGCCATCATTTTTGCTCTGGGTTCTTATGTTCTTATGAAATATGAATAGGCCTTCCTGACTTCCTGACTTCCACCACCTACAAAAATATTGCTTTTTTGCTGGAAGTCAGATCGATACATTGCTTTATGAAAGAAAAACACGCCATGCAACATTTTATTTTTTGTAAAGTAGTTTCTAACCAACATCTTATCTATTATTGTATATTACTTTTTATTCTGTGGTAGTCCTAAAGGTTAAGCTGAATCCATTTGCCGTACTGACTCCCACCGCGGCTTTATTGATTTGTCCTCATTTGATACAGCCTCTTTGCGAACATTCTCTACTTATTATTTTTCAATTGTCTTCTCGTCTCTTCTTTAAGGTGTTTCTTTAAGGTCTTATTTTTGTCCCTTTCCAAATGCAGGGCTGAATTGAATACTCGAAATATAACCTCCCGTAATGTAGCTTTTAAATCCACCTGAGACACACTTTCAGTACTTTGGCTCAGGTTTATTGGAGTTGTTTACCTTGGGAGAAACCATCTGGGAGGGCGTCTTTTTACTGCACATATAGAAAACCTCATAAAAGTATTTGCTTACTTTAAAGTTGGCAGTCATCTCCATAGGGCCTTTGCGTTTGTTTATTTATCATAGCAGTAAAGTAGATTCCCACCTCTCCGGGTACGGGCGTGCAGCAGGAATATGGGACAGCGCATCTCTCTGAGCTGGGGTTCTCGTGTGTGCAGTTGAAGTACAGGTTCCAGGACCAGTCTGTGTAATCGTTCCATCCACAACATTTGAACTGTGAACAAGAAGAAACAGGAATTTTCAGAAGGAATTATTGGGCTGTTTACATAAAAAAAATACTACTACTACTACTAAAACTACTACTACTACTACTACTACTACTACTACTACTAAAACTACTACTACTACTACTAAAACTACTACTACTACTAAAACTACTACTACTACTACTATTAAAACTACTACTACTACTACTGCTGCTGTTGCTACTACGACTACTAAAACTACTATTACAACTACTGCTACTACAACTACTACAACTACAACTACTACAACTACTAACTACTACTACTAAAAACTACTACTACTACTACTACTACTAAAACTACTACTACTACTAAAACTACTACTACTACTACTACTACTTAAAACTACTACTACTACTACTGCTGTTGCTGCTATTGCTGCTTCTACTACTACTACTACTACTACTGCTGTTGCTACTAACTACTACTACTACAACTACTACTACAACTACTACTAATACTACTACTACTACTACTACACTACTAACTACTACAACTACTACTACTACTACTACTAACTACTAACTACTACTAAAACTACTAACTACTACTACACTACTACTAACTACTACTACTACTAAACTACTAACTTACTACTAAAACTACTAAAACTACTACTACTACTAACTAACTACTACCACTACTAAAACTACAACTACTATACTACTACAACTACTACAACTACTAAAAACTACTACTACTACTTAAAACTACTAAAACTACTACTACAACTACTAAAACTATTACTACTAAAAAAAAAACTACTACTACTACTACTAAAAAACTACTACAACTACTAACAACTACTACTAAAACTTCTACTACAACTAACATTACAACCAAAACTACTACTAAAACTACAACTGAAATTACTATTACTACTAAAACTATTACTACAATCAACTGCTGCCGCTACTACTCCTACTAAAACTACTACTAAAACTAATAAAAACTACTATTAAAACAATGACAACTACTAAAACTACTACTACTAAAGCTGCTGCTGCGACTACAAAACTCAAAATGATCTGTTCCACCTTGTGATGTCATAAAGTGGTAGTTTTCCAGTTAACAGCTACATTTGACCATAAAGGTGCACTGTGTAACTTTTCTGGTGGAGGGCCTGTCACCAGCTTCCCTCTGTGGAGATATTGCCTGGAATGTTCCACAGTGTGGCATTACATTTATTTATCTCGACAGACAGTGAAAGTGACACTATAGGACCTAAATGACATGTCAGATCTGTGGATAGGCGAGCCCACTCATAGTAAGAATATACAGTATAACTAAGATTTTAAGTCAATAAAAACCCATGTTATTGAGTTATTAAGTGCAAAATAAGTTAAATGTCATACCATGGAACATTCTAGACAAACCAACAACATCTCCATGGTAGGGGTGTAACGGTATCCAAGTCTCACGATACGATATCGTCACGGTATAAACCTCACGATACGATATTTATTGCGATATCGTGGGAAAGCTCACGATATGATGGGGAGGCTCACGATTAAAGGTTGTATGGAGGATTTTTTTTTTGTTTCAAACTGTCAGTGAAAGATTAAAATACCATTACAGAGACGCAGCAGCTTTGTAATTATGATGACCAAAAAAAAAAAAGAACGAAAATCTATCAACTGTGGACGTAGTGAGGCCAGATAAACATCAGCCAATAGAAAACGAGGCTCCCTCATTTTCTATTGGCTGTTAGGTTGTCAATCAAACTCCCTAGTATAACTGACTCATCGGAGCGTGGGGATTATGTGGTTTACGCAGTGGTTCTTAGAGGCATTTTCGAACTGTCGCTTCCTCGCATTTCGCACAAAGTTTGTCGCGACGGCGGACGAGAATCCACGACCGGTTCGCCGCAAAAGAAAGTCTGTTTTTGAGGTCGCTGAAAGAAGAAGAGAAGTGGAAAAGTAGCAAAGACAAACTGAGGTGATTCTTGGAGATCTCGTCCAGTGATGGCGCGACCGAAGCAGACGAAGGGTCTAAAAACTGACGCGACGGTCGCTGAATTACTTCTAGACAGGAAACTTCAACAGTAATTCTGAATGCGCACAAGGACTGTCGCTGTATTTCTCTTCCCTTAAAAAAAATCCTCTATACAACCTTTAAGGATGTAACAATATCCAAATCTCTCGGTATGATATTTTCACAATATACATCTCACGGTACGATATTTATGGTGATATTTTGTGGATGCAAACAAAACTGTTAATACGCTACTTTTTCCTCTTAAAATGCCTGGACAAGACTTAATCAAAATAACTAAGACTTTTAAGTCTTAGTTATTTTGATCATGTTAGAACTGTTATTTCTTCTTGTAGTCTGCACTGAAACGGAGCAAAGGATCATGGTCTATGTAGTTCCCTCTGTCTTTTTTAGCTACTGATGCACCGTAACTCTTAATTTAAACAAAGAGACTTGTAATTTGATATATTGTGATGGTCCACGATATTATTGTGAGAACTTTGACGATACGATATCACGGTATTTCAATTGTCATATCCCTACTCCATAGAGAGGAGCAGATGGCGGACCCTCCATCACAAAAGTTTTACAGTGCATCTTTAAGCATAGTGAAGATTGGCGATTCCAGAAATTATCCAAATGATTCTAGTAAAGGTGTATGAAATGAAGCACTTCCTGTATTATCACATGACATCACGAGGTGTAAAAGCGCGTTTTCGAAATGTTTGAGGGAAGAACTCAGCGTAAATATGCAGGGTTTGCGTGTTAAACATGTGTGAATGAAACAAAACACAACTCCGGGTCTGTTTGTAACGAGGAAACAACATTCTAACAGTGTAGTTGTTTCATCCTCAGCACTTGAATTGCGAGGAGGAGAAGGCAGAAGTATTTTTAGACACTCGGACTGCGCTGTACTACACATCCTGTAAGACCGGGCCATTCCCCAGGGAACGCCGAGGCTCCGATGTGAGTGAGAACACATGGAAAAATCTGTATAAGAATCCCGCTGAGGAGCCACTAGAACTGTATGTTACATGAGGTGTACGTGATGAAATTTAAAACAGAACATGTGCAAGGTTCAGCGGTGGAGCCGAGGTTCACTGAGTTACGATGAAAAACATATTGATCGAGTGAATCTAAAATGCACTTACACACCTATGTCTGTATTGTATTCTGAAATAAATTGGTTAGACAACTTAAAGGACCCATAATACACTATTTTATCATCTACGGTGTGTTATAATGTTGTTTCCTCATCACAAACAGACCTGCAGTTGTGTTTTATTTCATTCACTCATGTTTAACACACAAATCCTGCAACAAATCCTTCCACCTTGTGATGTCATGTGGAAATAAAGGAAGTGCTTCAATGTGTTTTTAAACTCCATACACCTTCACTAGAATTATTTGAATAATTTCAGTCCTGGGGTTGCCAATCTCTACTGAAGAAAAGGTAAAAATTTTGATGTTAACCGTAGATCCTATATATAAACGGACATACCTAATGCTCTAGCCGCCGTGTTCCAAATAGGAAGTGCGCCAGGAGGTTCTTCTGGCTCATTCAGACTCCAACTGACTTACATTGGGATCTTGTGGCCCCTCTCTCTGTAACTGCTGTTGTGAGCCTCGTCATTTTGGTCTTAAACGTTCGTATTAACCCGCTCTACATGATCCTGAATTTTTCATTTCGCTATTTTGTCCCTAAATCAAGATATGAACGTAAATAACGGACCAATCAGACGTCTTCATTCCCTGAGGTCACTCCCGCCAACATTAGCAATAGGTGTGAGTGAGTGCGTATACATGCACATCAGTAACCCGCTTATGATCGGGTTTTTTGAGTATCCCGGTTTCTTGATGGTGCATGTATACGCAGTAACCCGGTTTCAGTAACCCGGTTATGGCAGTATCCCAGTTATTAGAAACCGGGTTACTGTAGCTGGTTTATTCCGATAGTAACCGGGATACTTGTGGCATGTATACGCAGTACCCCGGTTACTGCAACATAAAGTTGAGTGCGCATGCGTCCAAAAGACACTTTCCAGCCTTTCACCACAACAGTAGTCACATAAATAAATTGACCAACATAAATAAAGTGACCAAACGAGTGAAATGACTGTAAAATAAAGAACTGCGCTAAACCTGCACACGTACAATCTGCACTCGTACGACCTGCACTCGTGTGACGCTGAAAAGCTAAAACATGAACTATCTCCTATACTCTATACGCACGAAACACACTTACCATTATTAGCGCCTCTTCTGTCACAGAAATAACACACATAATCCACAGAGTCGTGTCATTTAGTCCAAAAGAAACTGATCGCATCAGCGGCGCAAGGAGCGAGTTGTTTTTATCGCCGCTAACAGTTTATGCTAATTAGCCTACGGTCTTAAGTTTCGTTTCTGTAAAACGTAAACAAATGTGATCACAGCTGAATTATCTGATCAAACGAGCTGATGTAGCTCTATAGTGTTTATGGTTTATATGTTGAGTTTATTTATGCAGAAGATTTTAATGAAGAATCTGCACAGTGGATTGTGGGAGATCTCGTAGCTCCTTAGCTTCTTATGCTAAAGAAGCTCACGGTTTGTATTTTTCCTGGTTTATGAAATTGATTTAAGTTAATTTTTGCGCCTGCGCATTTGTAAGATTATGTCAAGAAACCGGGATACTCCATTTGATCATGTATACGCGAATATGAGTATCCCGGTTTCTCAGTGCGCATGTATACACAGTAACCCGAATACTGACATAACTGGGATATGGCTAATAACCGGGTTATTGATGTGCATGTATACGCACTCATTGACAGTTACTGCATTTCGTTGGTAAGTAAGCCCCCTTCCCCAAGGCCGCCCTTTCAGTGGGCCGAGCTCAATGGCGCATGACTCCAGATTGGCCTTTAGCCCGACGAGGTACTTCCCGTGGCTCTGGACCGATTGAGCATGTGCAGTAGTGTTCTTTTCTCCCGCGGGCACACGCCAACGCAGTCTCGTGTATCACATGATCACTTTGACCAATCAGAACAAGAGGAGCTAGAGCGAAGCCGAGCCGAAGTTAATGATTATAAAGCGTTTTTTAAAACAAATGAAGGATTTTGAGCTGAAAAAAAGTTTATCATATAAAAAAAGGTAAAAAATCGTCACAAAATCCAACATTTTTGAAAGTTGTAGGTCCCTGTCAGACGAACAGGAGCAGTTTGTGCTCTATGAAAAAAATCTTTTCTCAGCCCGGGGGATTTTTTCTGCTGAAGTGAAGTGAGTGTCACTACGTCAACTGATGGCAGCTCCAAGCTCACGATACCCTGTCCAGTTATTTTAATAGATCCATGCCCTTCCTGCTTTCCGGTGAGAAGGGCGGGCACAGTTAACAATCTCAATTATGATTGTTAACTTATTATTATGATGATAACTTGAAAAGCTTCATGACATCACAAGGTGGAACAGAACATTTTGAGCTTTGGGGATGTAGAATAAAAAAAGGATTAGAAACAAAAGACAACTCCAGGTATGTGTTTGATGAGGTGACATTATAACATGGCTTAAAGCTCACAAGAATAATATAGGACCTTTAAGATGTTTTGTTGTCAGTGAAGGTGAACTTTCAAGTATTCTGCACATGGAAACTTGCAAGAAAAAAACATTTTTTTTGGACTAACAAATCTGTTTGTTATCCAGGCCCAACTCTGCCTCTCCAACAATGGCCTCATGCATTAATTCCAGTCAGGCGCTCTCTTTGAGAAATATGCAGAGGTGTTCTGTACGTGACATTGTCCTGAGTACCTCTTTTTGGATGTAATCCATCAGGTTCTGCAGATCCAGGTCATCTCGATAGTGCACAATGGCCTTCTTCACAAACTTGCCCAGAGCGTCTCTGGTCTGCAAACAGCCCGAACAGCAGCTTTAATAAGTGAATATATCATGAATGCATTATGAATACACTATGCCCAGGGGTGAAGGCACAGGCTCCTCTTAAAGCCATCATTAAGGAGTTCTGGGAGTCATATGAGGCCAATTGTTCTTCTATTCCTCAGCTCACCTCTTTCAAACCGTTTACCCATGCATATATTACGCACATACACATAATACATAATAGTTCTCTAGGCCAGTGGATCCTAAACTTTTCACACCAAGTTACTGCACAGGCTACACTCTTAAAACCATCATTAGAGAGTTCTCAGAGTCATATGAGGCCAATTATTCTTCTATTCCTCAGCTCACCTGTTTCACATCGTTTACCCAGAAACATAAATATACAGGCCCATAGACATTATAAACATATATTCACAATACACATATACTACAGGCCAGCGGACCCAAAACTTTTCACACCAAGTTACACTGTTAAAGCCATTGTTAGAGACATCTCTGAAGCATACGAGGCCATTTGTTCGTTTCCTCAGCTCACCTCTTTCTAATCATTTACCCATACATATAATAAGCAAATACACATGATACTACGTAATAGTACTCTAAGCCAGCGGGGCCTAAACCTTTCACACCAAGTACAACTTCAGAAAGTATTTGACCATATAAGTATCTCGAAACCCAAGCCCAGTTTAAACAGGGCTATTTTACATATAAACTAGGCCAAAACAGGCGTAACATGGAGCTCTACAGTGACCATTTCTCATTAATTTTTCCCACACTTTCAGAAAAAAATAAAAATAAAATTGTTTCTAAAACTGTATAAACCGGTAAGTTATTAAGGTTTTCACTGAATTTTGTATTTTGTTGTTCATTTTGGGCTCAAAAATGCGTTTGCATATAGCAGTTTAGCCTTTGCATTGCCTTCGAATGCTTAATATTTGAAATTTTTAAAAAGTATACGGGGAAAATGAAATGAAAATTGACTTGGCAGGCGTTAGAGCGATGCCAGTTCTAAACAAAGTGCCGCCAATGGTACACTGACCACAAACTATTCAAACTGGTGGTGGAAAACAGGCTTATTAGACTGAACTGTATTAAACAGCCCTCCACCCAGATTTTCTTTTCAATTTTTATAGCTGATATAAGATTTCTATAGGCTGACCATAGGTGTAACTGTTTTTTAAATGTATGAACTCATTTGGGTTTGTGCAAAGTTTAAAATTCAGTTTCACAGATTCTTCCTAAATGTTGGTGCTTTATTGAATGAATAAATGTGTTTAATCAGGGGCACATTTTTTCATTCAGATTAACCCTTCACCCGCTGGAAAAGGCCAAAGTGACAAAAGCGATTAAACTCAAATTATAACTCTTATCAAAGTGATTTAACCTACATTAACTTATAACATTTTGAAGTAATTGCTCTTCATAATTATTTTAAAAACTGTGAGCCTTTGTGAACTCTTCGATAATGAACACAGTCAGGGCTGCAGTGAAGTTTCTGCACTAAGTTGCTATTCTGCACACAGAGTTTAACTGTTGGGGTGGGATTTTAGGCCAGGGCTGTACCACTATCAATTCAGGAGCAAGTAGTGTTGTTATTAGTTTTATACCACAGACTGTATAAAGAAGTGGACTGAGGGAGTGTGATGGCATTGGGCTCCAGTCAAATGAAACTCATCGAGGCCGACAGTTATGAGAGCAAATTTGGAATGTGATCATAAGTATCAAAGCAACCAAAGAGGCAATCTAAGGCTACGTTCAGACTGCAGGGCTTAACGCTCAATTCAGATTTTTTTGTGAAATCCGATGTTTCTGCGAGGTCGTTCACATTTCCAATTAAATGCGACTTGTATGTGACTCCAGTGTGAACGTTAAACAACCTGAAAGTGTCCCGCATGTGCACTGGAGACACGACGACGTCAACCGCAGCGAGCGTGCTCTGTGTTTACGGAAGTTGTCCAAACATGGACGCGAGCATTGAGCACCTGGCGATTTTAAAGTTCCTCTTGTACTGGAGCCAAAACATGAACAACTTAGGGTGTTTTCACACTGACAGTATTTGGTGCGCACCAAACGGTCCATTCGAACCAAAAGTGGTTAGTTCGGTTCGTTTGCGTTGGTGTGAAAGCGTCAATCGGACTCGGACCCGAACCAAATCAAGCGGACCGAGACCGCAAAAAAGAGGTGGTCTCGGTTCGCTTGAATCCGCACCAAATGACCAACTTTGGTGCGGTTCCTCTGGTGTGAACGCGAACCCGGGTCCAAACCATAGACAGTATGGACAAACGGACTATTCGAAATGCATCATGGGAGGGACACGCGTCTCCTCTGCCTGAAATGACGCGCTGTACGACTCCAGCGCAGTAACAGGTTGTTGTCCAGACGCAGCCGCGATTCATTTTCGAATCATTTTACCAACAATGGCCAAAACAGAGAACGTAACACACGAAGATCAGAGCAAGTATCAGTGTGCGAACGTGTGGCTCCAGAGTGAGTCAAAATTGGGGGTGCGTACCCCTGTTCGGGACCTACACGCACAGAGACGACCCGGTGTTCCCCGTGATCACACAGCAACCAACATTTGTTATTTTAGGCTTTAATTAACCAAATAATTTTATGGCAATAGGCAATCGCCCATTCAATTGATATAACTTTAAAAAGTCCCTGTTTTTAGCCTAGTGTGAGAAATACAGTCGGACTAGATCCAAACCATAGTCCCGAACCAGCGGGGGCAGCTCCTGTTCAGGCCGGGCTCAGAGGAGCTGGAGCGGGGAGCCTCGACTTGAGGAAGCGCTTTCCCCGGGAAGAACCAAATGCGCGGAGGACGGACGCTCAGAACAACATATAACAAACCAAACTGGACTCACGCTTCTGTCCGGATGCTGTACCACCTTGGAACCAGCCGTGGTTCTTGAGCGCGGAGAACCGGAGCAGCGCGCCCGGACCTGTAGTCCACAGCGCATTCTTGCTTTTCCCGCACGGAAACAGCGCGCAGACGACTGAACGTACCTGCTCGGACTCAGTCCATCAAGCACTGGTCTTGCTCGCCACCGTTTGGAACCAGCACATGGAGGATGAAGCCTCCGGACCATCTGACCAACGAGCTTGTAACAGACCAAGAACCAGACCCCAGCCCCGTCCTGAGGAGCTGTTGGCTGCTGCTGTTACCCGAACTCTGGGCTGATGCGGTGAGTTTGTACAAAGTTCTACATGTTGCTGTTTTATGAGTTCATGGTGATAATTTGAGATGAGGATGGCCCGTGGTATTAACAGGAACATCGGAGTTGATAACTGGAGTATCGCTGTTTTACCGGGGAAACAGAGACACGTGAATCGAACCAGTTTTGGTTCGTTTGCCGGTGTGAACGCGGACCACACTGGAGTGTATTTGCTACATAATAACAATTTTATTGCCTGGTGCGGACCAAATAATCGAACTAGCGGTGTGAAAACGACCTTACTTGTTTTAAAGAGGAGATTGAGAAGGAGAAGGACGAGGTTTTTGGTCGTGGTGTTTTGTGGGGCAGCGGTAGCGACGTCCGTTGAAAGGAACGTGTGGATGCGCAAACGTAGCCAAGAGTGGTGAGTGGCGATGTGCTTTGCTTCAGTGACACGGAGTTCATTAACAATTTTCACCTACTTCATCGCAGAATAGTTTGTGGCTTGTTGATAATGTGTAGGTTGGATGAATGCGCTTTGGCCGTTCACACTGAAGTCGCATGTCAAAAGATCGGATATGTATCGGTTTCAGGACCACATATCCAAGTGGCCTGGGTCGCATTTGAAAAAATTGGGATCTGTGTCATTCAGACTGTCAATAAAAGATCGGATACAGGTCACATAGAAGCCAAAAAATCGGATTTGGGTCACTTCAGGCTGCAGTCTGAACGTAGCCTAAGTGAGGTTGTTGAAGGTAGTGCCCCCTGTGCCCAATCCAACCTGTTGTTGATGCTCACTGGAGTGACCTTGGGGAAAGAAGACGCCTAATTTGTCTGTAATAATGTTTATATATGGAATAAGAAAGCTTTCAAACATATTTGTGTGCATAAGTTAGAAATCTGTGCATATTTGGGAAATCAGAGCATATTTGGCTGTAGTTGAGCATAAAATAAATATTGGTAAACTGTCAAATGAGTCCAGTCGTACATAAAATATATTGTGTGTCTTTTTTGCATCAGAATGCAAATTGAAAAGTTACAACATCAAAATTACAATCACAAAATGAAAATTTATGATTACGCTACACAGATGCGACGCGACTGTCCAAAATACTTCATCACTTCACAGGCATTATTTATTGAGCAGAAGAAACATCAATCGAGATGCTGGACTTTTTCAATTCGTGGAAACTGTCTGCATTAGGATTCTTTCGCTCAACGGTAGGCCGGTAAATTTTTTATTTAACCAATTGCTGCTATTTGGTCGTGACGTATGTAATTCGCCGAATGAGTGTACATGTCTGTCAAGGATCATTGTCGTTTCTGTGAGATGAACTTGCCAATTTAAGGTGCAATTTAAAAAAATGCTAAGTTTATATTTGACAAAGGAAGTCCAAAGGAGGATAGCGTATGCAGTCTGCTATCGCAACTCAGACTACGTTTACAATTAAATAAATCCGCATATCACCGTATCAACGATCTGCGTCCAGACACGTTGTTTCTGTGTCCGTAAGTCCACACATCTTTGAGCATATTTGTTTATGTTTTACAGAAAGGAAACTTAAAACCGCATGGCTTATTTGCATAAACTGATCGCTATTGTGCATTGATGCGGTTCAGCTTCTGTCGGACTAAAGGACACGACTCAGTGGAATATGAGTGTTCGTTTCTGTGACAGAGGGATGTTCTGCTGATGGTGAGTCTGTTCTGTGCTTCTATCACGTTGGAGATGGTTCATGTGAAACTTTTCAGAGATTATACGTCTGCAGGTCGTACACACAGATCGTATATATGAATGGACATATATTCTAGACTCTTAGCGTTTTGGCGGTGAATTACTTTGCGGTGCAT